ATATAATCAAACGACGAATACCAAAAGAAGCGATTCAATAAACATGGAAATTAAGAAAGACGGTCGAGAATATTACGAAGTTATTGTAAATACAATTGACACAGGAAGTGGAGCAGATTTACAAAATCAAAATCTAGCCCTAAGCCCTAACTACCCAATCGCTACGTCTAAAAAATAAAGTAACAAAAGCTCAAACCGAGGGAGATTCGTCTTACGAAGTACCACATACCTACATGTCAATAGATGCTGCACACCGACTTACAAAAGTAAATAATTTATCGAAAACAACTGTATGGTACGGTAATAACTACTTTCGGTATTATTTGAGTATAAAATAATCGGTACCCCTTTATGCATAATATGCGAATCATTATAGGCCTTTACTTGCCTCCTCATCGGAGAAAGAAATTAAACGCCGTTAATTCTATATTACCGGTATTGAATTTTAAGATTTTTTAATTCAATTATAATTACGATTAGATTATATATTTCTGTAAATATCTATCATTATACACTACTTTATAAACGCTCATTGTGTTTGGAATGGAATTGTGTTTATAAAACAGTGTGTGTTTCATCATCACACAATAATTTTATACATTATAAACTTAATTTCTAAAAATCTTAATTTAATAATAAGTAGCCTAAAGCAATTTTAACTTTAATTATAACTTTACAAAACATATGATGTAATTTATGATTGTAGTATTAAATTTGATGCAATAAAGAAAAGTTATTTATATATTGTAGATTCTTGTTGAGGCATTTCATTATTTGATATATTATTTTTTAAAGTGACTACTTATTTGTTGATTATTTCGGAAATGATAACGATAATATTGATGATAATGATGATGATGATGATGATGATGATGATGGTGATAAAATAGGCCTAATATTAATAATAATAATAATAGGCCCTAATAATAATAAAAATAATGATAATAATAATAATAATAATAATAATAATATAAATAGTAATAGTAATAGAAGAAGTAGTAGTAGTAATAATAATAATTTTAAAAAAATAATATTAATAATAATAATAATAATAATAATAGTAGTAATAATAGCAGCAGCAGCAGTTGTTATAATAATGATAATAATAATAATAATAATAATAAAGTGACTGCTTATTTGTTGATTATTTCGAAAATGATAACGATAATATTGATGATGATGATGATGATGAGGATAAAATAGGCCTAATATTAATAATAATAATAATAATAATAATAATAATAATAATAATAATAGTAATAGCAATTGTAATAGAAGTAGTAATAGTAGTAGTAGTAGTAGTAGTAGTAATAATGACAATAATAATAATATTAATAATGACAATAATAATAATAAATAGTAGTTGTAATAGAACTAGTAGTAGTAGTAATAATAATAAATAATAATAATAATAATAATAATAATAATAATAATATTATTATTATTATTATTAACAACAATAATAATAATAACAATAATAATAATAATAATAATAATAATAATAATAATAATAATAATACAAAAAAATATAGTGTACCTCCTATTATCTGAGTTTCAGTAGCATTTACAAATATGATTTTAGAAAAAAAAAACTCAACCGAAATATAGTGAATCATTAAAGGAGTTCGTAGAATAGTGTACTTCAAACAATAACGCTATAAATAGGCCTACAAAAATTAGATATTTCCTTTGATTTTAGAAGCACGCTGGAAAACAAAACAATTATGATAAATCATCAAAATATCGAAGCTGTAAATGGAGTTCATTAAATATTAAAGAAAGTATCTTACTCATTACGAAAAAGAACAAAACAAAACTAACATATAAATACAATAATATTGGGTATTTTACTTGTGCGAAACAAAAATAAAAAAACAAAAACTGATAACATTAGTGAAAGATGGGCTTACAACGATGTCCATTTTAATGATCAAGAAAACAATTCTGGCTTGATGTTACATAAAGTAAACATTTAAATAAAACATTGTTGTTCTTAGTCTATTGTAGTTGCAGTGATATGACGATTTTGACTACTTAGAAAGTACCCCGTCGCCTGTCGCAATGTTAAATGACAATTAACACTGCGACATTAATATTAACAATTATTCACTTGGTTAATATATACATCTTGGTTAATCTGAAATAATGTTTAGTGATATAAGATGATATTATGGTTTATTATCCTTTAATCATCAGGTCTCACAATATACATCAGTCCTCGGTAAGAAATGCAGGATCACTCTTCAGCATTATGAACAGCCAAAACAATGTTGAAAAATAAATAAAGTGAGAATATGCATTGAAGAGTGCAAATAACTATTGTTAGGGAAACTGTTCAGTTTGTGCCGTAGCTTTACATCCCAGTTTACTGAGCCCTCTTGATTTCGAGTGACATTATACCAGAAGATTGCTTGAAGCTGTGATGCAGATCAACGATTAAATACAAAACACCAACCAGTTGACAAAGACGTAATACAAATATAATGTATAAACTTGTTCTACAAGGAAGTAAATTACCAAAATTTATTTATTTTGCCATAAGCAATGAAAATATAGGCATATAGGCATATATGTGAAAATTGTGTTAAATGGCGAATGTTTCCGGTGAAGCGTTGGAGGATGTGGCAATTTATTAATATTACACGAGTTGTTCTATTAATTTACAGCATTAGACCCGCATACTGTCAAGGTATACTTGCTTTGATTTTACTACTTAATTATTTTTGTTTATATTCACTATTATGTTTACTCTAAACACGTAGGCCCCTACTTATATAGAGTTTGGTCTATCTGTGTTCATGTGAGCGCCCAATAATGTTTTATTTCGACAAACATTGATACTTTGATTCACAAATGTACTTTTAATTGCCAAATTTGCGCACAGTGCTCTTATTTTTTGTTTAAACAGCAGAAAAGTTAAGTTCGTTCTCTTTTCATATTTTTGTTTGTCTTGTACTGTTGTGACGAATTATAATTTCGTATTACATGTATTTCCGTGTCACTCATATGGTATGGCTGACCAGATTTATGTGTGACGTTAATAAATAATAAAGTAAATAGTAAAGTAAAGTATTTTCTGACAGGTCTATTTAATAAGATGCATTTACACCTAACCAGAAAAAATGATATGACAGAATGTGATTTTAATTTTCTTACAAATAGGCTGTGATCCAAATCCATGTCCAGGTGGCAGCATATGCAGTGCGAGCGGCAACACTCAAACGTGTAAATGTGTTGATACTTTTTACTCCAATGATATGAAATGCCAGCACTATTTTCGTAAGAGAAATATCAATATATTAATAATTTTCTCCCCATCAACGCCCAACATGCAAACAAATGATAGTAAAATCAACCCGTATAATGTGAATAAGATATGAGTACAGTACAGTAATCTGTAACATTATTCAACATTTCAGTAGTTAAGCAAAGTTTACAAAGTTGATATTGTCTTATTTCCAAATGAGGTTTTGTCTACTGACTTTATTCGGGATTTAACTTAATTATGATCTCATCTAGTCATATAAACTATTGTAATCATCGCATAAACAAATACTTATAGTATCCTATATTTCTTTAAGCTTGTACGCACAATCCATGTTCAAATCCAACATCTTGCAATGCATACTCGCAACCAACTGCGTACGATTGTGACTGTACAGGATTCACGGGGAACACGTGTCAAGAAAATGCAAGTACGAATTCCTGTTACATTGAAATGTAATTAAATTGCATTGTGCCTCATTGTATTTATCCACTGATTGATATATTTTGTTTTTATCATTATTGATTTGAAAGATTTAATTATCATTCATTTTATCAATTGTAGTATGTACTTCAGATAATCCTTGTCGCACTGGCTACAGCTGCACACAGACACCTGGCGTCCCTAATACATTTAAATGTTCGTGTCCTGCTGGTTACTTTGGCGAAAATTGTGATGTATATAACGGTGAGAATTATTGACGTTGTGAACATTATTCTGAGGTAGCTGTGCTCTTTAATTTTTTAGAATGAATACTCTTTGTGATGATGTGAAATAAGCTATAGTTAATTTTTAGTTATACCCATTTTGAGTACCTTTCTTCTAGGATTCAGATAACTTTTAAGAAGATTATTTATTTAAAACTTACATTTCAGTGCTACACTATTGCTATGATTTGTAAGCATAAACATTCAGAAGTGTTGTAGTCATAATCAAGGATGGTTTCCTTGCAGCAGAAAAAAAAACCCAAAATTATCTTTTTAGCATTGTATTGGACATTATTAACAAAATACGCGCCGTGCTCTGAATACCGGATTTTTATTCATAAGTTAAAATTCTGTAAAGTGATCTTGTTTACCCTTGATTTTGGTAACCCTTTTTTCAATCATTCTTCCTAGTGCATTCTTCTTTTAATACAATGCCTGCGATTCATAAGCGTCTTTCATTGAGGAAACTAACTTTTTTTAACCATTCTAAAAGTTAAAATGTATCATATTAAAAGGATTTGATGTGACATTTTCGCATAATTGATTGACCGAAAGCATAAACTGGATGTATTGCATTGTAAATTTCTTTTATATTTTTATTGATTGATTGTGCAATTGAAAAACTAAGATTGATCACATTATTGATGGATAGATTTGAGCACTTTTATTATCATTTATCTATTTTGTTTATATTGTTTAGGTTTATTCTATCGAAATACTTATATGGTTTTGAATGTTTTTATATATTAAATTAGATATGGAGTAACTCTCTATTCCCAACATTTTAAATAGTTATTCCATGTATAATATAAACTAAAATATTTGGATTTTGATTTGTAACTTGTTCTATTGACCCATGTTATCAAAAATGAACTTGCAATGGTATACCAACCTAAATTTACGTTCTGTATATTCAACCGTTATGTATTATGGGGACAATAAAAAACGAAAATAATAACATTTAATCAGATTGATTTAAAGGATGACAATGTATATATGTTCGTAGGCCTATAACCACACATTGTATATTACAGCATGCTACGCTACCCCCTGTCCTGCTGGATCAACTTGCACATGGTATACCAACCCAACTAGATACACCTGTGACACCAATAACGGTAATAATAATCGTCAATTCTAGAGAGTTTTTGCAAGCTAACGAAAACGATAACGAATATGGATAAGTCTTTAATTTTTTAGACAACCGTCCCCCTACTATTATCAGAATAGAAAAAATACATCCTAATACAATCACAACGGATTTTAAGCTTACAATTTCGGCTAGGCCTAACTGTTGTGAATGTAACGTATGTAAATGTAATTTAAAAATATTTGAATGAAAAATAAAATCAATATCACTTTAATATCGAAATGCATTTGTCTCATGCAGGCATATCTGTCTGACCGACTGGCTACTTAGACAGCAACTGGTGCACATACAATATAATAATAATAATAATAATAATAATAATAATAATAATAATAATAATAATAATAATAATAAAAATAATAATAATAATAATAATAATAATAATAATAATAATAATAATAATAATAATAATATGCAGAAATTTATAATGCGCCCATTCAAAAAAACATTATCAAAGGCGCAGTGAACAATTAACCCAATTAAAGCGATTTTGTAAACAAAAACGTTTTCAAATTAGTTTTAAATGAGTTTAAATAAAGAGGTAATAGATTCCAAAGATAAGGTGTCTGAACAGAAAAGAGTGTTGTCCATATGTTTTTAGCTTTCTCCTTTTTGAAGGGGCTTGAAGAAGAAATTTATCGGAAGAACGAAGTGCACGAGTTGGAGAGTATGGCGTAAGAAAATGTAGCAAATATAATGGTTGTTTAAAAAAGAGTGATTTAAAAACAAGCAAAAAGAATCTTGAATGTTATCCGTTGTTGTTTAATGCTAAGCCAATGAAGGTCTTTAAGAATGGAAGTAATGTGTTGTTTACACCCCATTATTCTACTTTCATCATATTCATATATGTAGAACTGCTGACTGTTCTTGTAAAATGCAATATGCGAGGGTTATATAATCCTAATCTGGCTTATGCCGTCCTGTGTATTATATATACACAACCATATTACAACAGTTTAATTACTATACTGGAACAGCCTCAAACGCCGGGAACCAGCGTAGATTTTTAAACCAATTTCTAAATACGCCATTTTGAAATTCATCCGAATTATGACTGTAAACACACGCATTTACGGGATTTTTGGATTCAAAATAGTACGTATACAGGTATGTATATCATGTCTTCCTCTAAAATTTTAGACTTATATTAACTCTAATGCTTTAAAAAACATTAATGTTCAGTCTACCTAGGCATAGACCAAGGCCCTCGGCATAACCTAGTTTAAGCCTAGATGACAACTTTCGGCTCGATCATGTGTGGGAAAAAGCCGGGCCTCTGGCTTAGGGGTGAAGGGCCTAGGTATTTAGAATTGCCAAGAGGCTCCCTTTGAGTTTCCTAGTGGGTCCCCCTAATAGTACCTCCCTGGTGTTCTATTACCTCAGTGCAGGCCTATTTAAATTCACTATTTCTACTACCAGCCTCCTATATTAGGCTTAAGGCCTACTAGTACTATAGAGCCATGTAGACATTCAACCTAACCACGCCTAGGCTAGGCTCCCTCCCTCCCCACTCCCTCCCTTCCTAGTCCAAGACTGGCTTAAATACTACATTATTTATTAGATTTACTGCTCAGTGCAGCTAACTGGTTATTGGTAACTAGCCTTGGCAAAAGAAAAAAAAGAACGGTCCAGGGAGGTAATTTTACAGATTGACCACATAAGACCCACCATGGTGACTGTGAAAATATTGATAATTTATTAATAAATTTTAATCATACAGGTAATTGAATGTGTCATCTGCTCTGATATTTTTAATTACTTCTTCTAGGCCTATAACATTTTTAATAGTATTTAGATATTTGCATTGATAATAATAATAATAATAATAATAATAATATTTTTTAAAAAAACCCCTGTAAATCAGATATTGATCATTTTAGGGATGTTGCTTGTTTGCTTGCCCACTGGTGGGAACCTGCCTGGTCCCCACCTAAAGTTTACAAAATTAAAAAAATGGAGAAAAAAAGGAAAATTATACAAGGATACAATAGTGATAATAATAATATTAGTAATAATAAAAGTATTATTATTAATATTATTATTATTATTATTATTATTATAATAATAATAATAATAATAATAATAATAATAAAAATATTTTATCCATTCGTCCATTCATTTACACACTCATTCTCTCACTCATTCTCTCACTCATTTACACTCACTCATTTTTTCACTCATTCATTCATTATTTCATTCATTCATTTATTCACCCATTCATTCAATCAATCACTAATTCATTCATCCATTCATTTATTCATTCATTCATTCATTCATTCATTCATTCACTCTCACTCCCTCACTCACTCACTCAATCACTTATTCATTCATCCATTCATTTATTCATGCATTCATTCATTTATTTATTTATTCACTCACTCATTAATTAATTAATTCATTCATTCATTCATTCATTCTTTTTTTTCATTCATTCATTCATTTTCATTTATTCATTTGATTTTATTTATTCATTCATTTTCATTTATTCATTTGATTTTATTTATTCATTAATTCATTCATTTTCAATAATTCATATTTATTCATTCATATTTTCATTCATTTATTTTCATTCATTTTATTAATTATGGTTATAAAACGCATGTGTATCTTTTGATTGGAACTAAAAATAATAATTTTTTTAGTAAAGTGGCAGATTTAAAGGGGGCCCAGCTGGCCTGGTCCCCACCTAAAGTTTTCAAAATAAAAAATAAAAAAATGGAGAAAAAAGAAAAATTATACAAGGATAAAAGGATATAATAATAATAATAATAATAATAATAATAATAATAATAATAATAACAACAGTAACATTCCATCCATTCATCCATCCATTTACTCACTCATTCTCTCACTCATTTACTCTCACTAATTTTTTCATTTATTCATTCATTATTTAATTAATTCATTTATTTACCCACTCACTCATTCGCATATTTATTCATCTATTCATTTATTAATGCATCCATTCATTCATTCATTGTCATTTATTCATTCGATTTTATTTTTTCATTCATTTTTAATCATTTATTTATTCATTCATATTTTCATTCATTCATTTTCATTTATTTTGTTCATAGATTACTCTATGCATTAACTATGGTTGTAAAACACATGTGTGTTTTTTTATTAAAACTAAAATTTTTTATTTTTTGGAACAGTGGTGGATTTAAGAGCGAGACCAGCTGGCCTGGTCTCAACCTAAAGTTTTCAAAATAACAAAAAAATAGGGAAAAAAAGGAAAATTATACAAGGATACAAGGATACAATATTGATAATAATAATAATTATATTAGTAATAATAAAACTATTATAATAAAACTATTAATAATAATAATAAAATATATTTAAATATATTTTGAGAGTGTTGAGAGTGCCATTTCCAATCATCTAGAGGTGCAATAATCATAAATTTTCTCGCCTCAGCCAAAACCGTGGTGGGGCTGATGTGTACAGACCAACAACCAGTGGATTGGTCCCTCCCTGGGCCCCTCTATTTCAAATTTCTGGATCCGCTACTGAGTGGGTATATAAGTTGTGCCTAGGCATGGCACTGCTAAGGTAGCATCTGATCTAACAAAGATTATTGATACTATATATTAATTGAAAATAAAAATCACCTCCCAACATAAGTATTTAATTTTAAAGAGGTGATGCTAAACAATTATTTTTTTATTTGGCCTAATTTAAATTAGTATTATTTTTTAAGGTTTTTTTTCTCCAATATTTCAACATAGATGGTATATATATTATTATGCAGTAACCTCAATTGGACTTATGATTGTATTGCGCACCCAGGCCTACCTCTCTACCAGCAATTTTCTACACAAATATGAGTTAGATTACTTCTCAGTTTAATCCTGCAAATTAAATACTGATCACGCCAATTTCATCCTCAACGTCCAGTATTCATACAGTACTTTGTTTTAAAGTAATTCACATTTTGCCAATTCATTTAAATTCAAATTCAATTCAAAAATACTTTATTTTCTAAAGGGATATTCATTTGGCCATGGTATAATATATCAAACAATGTACAATGAATAAAATATGTGTTTTTCACTAAATTAGGACTACCGTATCTCTGACAAATTGCACTTATCTAGAAAAATAACCTGAAGTCAATGATAGAATAGCTAGTGCGTCCTAAAAACACACATGTCTGACCACACATTAATAAGATACCCAATGAAATTACAAATAGATTTGTTATAATAATCTTATTATTAGGACTCACATTATCATTAAAATGTGTTTTATTGAAATGTTTTAGACAATTTATTAGGTTAATATGTAATATGATGGTCTCATTGCTGCTCATGTCAATCCTTTACTTATTAAATGTGTATTTACATCTCAGAAAAACATAGTTTTTCATTATTTGCCTAAGTCCTATAAATGTTACGGCTTATAATTTAACTTAAATTTAATTATTGTTGATCTCATTTTGTCTATCCCTCAGATGAATTTTGTTTATGGTTCTAGCTATATGAACTATGCAGGGATATTAATGTGGCCAATATTTTGTTGATGACTTTGGGCTTAGGGGAAGTTTTATAGGGGTCTAATACTTTCATTAGTCTTGTGAAAGAATGCAATAATTGAAATGTGACTAAATCTCACTTCTTTCTCTACAGAAAATATTGTATGCAAGCAGTTAAACTGGGAGCAAGTTTATGCTTAACAGAACATGCATAAGGTAGGTTCACTGTTTACAGTATATAAATGGTTGAATATCAGAATAATTATGTATTATGCCCACTGTACAGTTATTTTAATCACTATATTAAGTTTGTGAATACACATAAAAGAGAATTGTGTAGCCTATTTACAGTCTATATAATAGTAAAAATTATAAGTAATCCAAAAAACCAAATAATAATTCATACATCTCAGGACTTTAACTGCTCCATCTAGAAACCTACAGTATTTTAGTTGAAGAATATCATTTCCCCTTGTCATACAATACAC